GATAATTCTTAGTAATAATTAACAATTAGTGAAAGAGGTTGAGGATGACATGAAGAATTTTAAGCCGCGTTTGTGGTGTCAACCGGCAAAATGAGAAGGGCTGATAATAGACCTTATGCATAATGACGTCACAAGACTTGATGCCCGCGAGGAATGCTGGTCTTAATAGTCATCGCCCGGGAAAATTAAACAATTCAAAATGGCCACTATCGAAATTTTCCCGGGCGATGACTACTAACACCAACATCCCTCACGGGCCTCAAACCTTGTGACGTCATTATGCATAAGGTCCATTGTTCACATCACGCGAAAAACGAATTCAATAATTGTTTGATTAACTCTTTAGTATTTAAAAGACGAAACGGCGCCCTTTCCCTTGTGCAAGCCATTTGTGATGTGACACAATACACTCTTTCGATAATTACGTCACAACTACACTGTTTTCAACTTAGGACCACCTTAAATGGAAAAGATTTCAAGTTTTTTTCTCATGGGCTATGCACAGAGAAGCAGAACATCCTTCTTCAACACAAGCATGAAAAAAAATTTTGGATTTTGATCAATCAATATATGGAAATAAGCATTAACACGAAAACGAGCCATGACCTGGAGCCTTTTTTCGTTTTAAAACTTATTTCCACATTTATGAGTCAAAATAAAGAATTATTTTTTATGCACTACTCTATTTCAAGGACCAAAACTATGGAATTCATCACCAAAAGTTATTATTCAGGTCGCTCGTTGTTTCAGTAACAGAATGTTAGATCGAGCATTTATTATACTAATTATCTCGGCTACTACGTTAAGCACATTTACTGTATATTTTAGTCCTATCCAATAATTTAAATAGTAGCTAAAACATGAGCAGTCGATATTTATCTGATAAAAAAAACTCTAGCTGAAGGCGAGAGTTTGTATATCAGATAAAGATCGGATGCGAATGTTTTATCGTACTTAAAAAATGACCCATCTTATGAGTTCATTGGCGAAGTAATTTTAAAAATAAACATTGTCCAAGCCGAGAAAATCATAGCTGAAGCTTATGTAAATCGGGACAAAAGTTGATGCGATTTAGAAACAAACATTTCTATTGAATTTTCTTCATGAATTATTAATGAAGTTTTATAACAATAATTATCGATATACAGTGTCAGTGTGTATAAAAGAAAGGCTAGTCTTTAAAATTCAAATTAGTCATAATTACAGTGATCTCATTGTTCTAAACTGCGTAGAGTCAATGATACGTGACAAAAACATGTCTTATTTACAAAAGGGATCAATTATAACTTCATTTTAATGCTACTTGTACTTGTACAGGGTATTCCATTGAGTTGTCCGTACATGTCCCATAAGTAGAAAATCTTTTGTTTTACGGCTCGCTAATTGATTAGCAGTAATTATAAATTCAATACAATATGACTAATTTGAATTTCAAAGACTAGCCTTTTTTTAGACACCCTGTATATACTCCATGCATCGTGAAAGTGGCCTCTCTCGCACAGGTCTGGTGGTTTCTGGAGGTCTCCTCGTTATTCGATACAATCATACTTCCTTACTTTTGTACCTACTTTACTATTTCTTTCTTGTCTCTCTTACTATTTCTTTCTATTGCTCGAGCCTTTGTACCTATTTTACTATTTCTTTATTGTCTCTCTTACTATTTCTTGTCTCTACTTTTGTACCTATTCACTATTTCTTTCTTGTCTCTCTTACTATTTCTTTCTTGTCTCTCTTACTATTTCTTTCTTGTCTCTCTTACTATTTCTTTCTTGTTTCTACTTTTGTACCTATTTTACTATTTCTTTCTTGTCTCTCTTACTATTTCTTTCTTGTCTCTCTTACTATTTCTTTCTTGTCTCTACTTTTGTACCTATTTTACTATTTCTTTCTTGTCTCTCTTACTATTTTTTTCTTGTCTCTCTTACCTATTTACTTTTCTTTCTTGTCTCTCTTACTATTTCTTTCTTGTCTCTACTTTTGTACATATTTTACTATTTCTTTCTTGTCTCTCTTACTATTTCTTTCTTGTCTCTACTTTTGTACCTATTTTACTATTTCTTTCTTGTCTCTACTTTTGCACCTATTTTACTATTTCTTTCTTGTCTCTCTTACTATTTCTTTCTTGTCTCTCTTACTATTTCTTTCTTGTCTCTACTTTTGTACCTATTTTACTATTTCTTTCTTGTCTCTCTTACTATTTCTTTCTTGTCTCTACTTTTGTACCTATTTTACTATTTCTTTCTTGTCTCTCTTACTATTTTTTTCTTGTCTCTCTTACTATTTCTTTCTTGTCTTTACTTTTCTACCTATTTTACTATTTCTTTCTTGTCTCTCTTACTATTTCTTTCTTGTCTCTCTTACTATTTCTTTCTTGTCTCTACTTTTCTACCTAATTTACTATTTCTTTCTTGTCTCTCTTACTATTTCTTTCTTGTCTCTCTTACTATTTCTTTCTTGTCTTTACTTTTCTACCTATTTTACTATTTCTTTCTTGTCTCTCTTACTATTTCTTTCTTGTCTCTACTTTTCTACCTATTTTACTATTTCTTTCTTGTCTCTCTTACTATTTCTTTCTTGTCTCTACTTTTGTACATATTTTACTATTTCTTACTTGTCTCTCTTACTATTTCTTTCTTGTCTCTACTTTTGTACATATTTTACTATGAGGACAAGGTCCTCACGCTGAGGACAAGGTCCGTCACGCTGAGGACAAGGTCCGTCACGCTGAGGACAAGGTCCGTCACGCTGAGGACAAGGTCCATCACGCTGAGGACAAGGTCCGTCACGCTGAGGACAAGGTCCGTCACGCTGAGGACAAGGTCCGTCACGCTGAGGACAAGGTCCGTCACGCTGAGGACAAGGTCCACGCTGAGGACAAGGTTCCTCACGCTGAGGACAAGATCCGCAAGCTGAGGACAAGCTTCTTCACGCTGAGGACAAGGTCCATCACGCTGAGGACAAGGTTCCTCACGCTGAGGACAAGGTTCCTCACGCTGACGACACGCACGGAGGTCGTCGTACATGCTCGTCACTCAAACTTGTAAGTTATGATGTAGTTTTTAACTAACAGGTAGAGAAGTGAGAGAACGTAAAGCGTAGATACTGTACCATGCATTAAACATACTCTAGTTTTCCGTGAAATTGCTTTTTAAAGACACGTGAATCGTGAAACGGCTTTTTTTTTTCATTGTGAAACGTGATCCATACCCCCCTTTCCCACCCCTATGAGGACAAGGTTCCTGACGTTGAGGACAGGTCCTGACGCTGAGGACCAGGTTCCTGACGCTGAGGACAAGGTTCATGACGTTGAGGACAAGGTTCCTGACGTTGAGGACAAGGTTCCTGACGCTGAGAACAAGGTTTCTGATGTTCAGCACATGTTCCTGACACTGAGGACAAGGTACCTGACGCGGAGGACAAGGTTCCAGACGCTGAGGACAAGGTTCCTGATGCTGAGGACAAGGTTCCTGACGCAGATGACAAGGTTCGTGACGTTGAAGACAAGGTTCTTGACGCTGAGGATAATGTTCCTGACGCTGAGAAACAATTTCCTGACGCCGAGGAACAGGTTCCTGACGCTGAGGAACAGGTTCCTGACGTCGAGCACAAGGTTCCTGACGTCGAGGAAAAGGATTCTGACGTTGAGGAGAAGGTTCCTGACGCTGAGCACAAGGTCCCGGACACTGAGGAAAAGGTACCTGACGATGAGGACAAGGTTCCTGACGCTGAAGACAAGATTCCTGACGTTGAGGAGAAGGTTCCTAACGTTGAGTACAAGGTACCTGACGCTGAGGACAAGGTCCTTGACGTTGGGGACAAGGTTCCTGACGTCGAGGACAAGGTTCTCGACGCTGATGACAAGGTTCCTGACGCTGAAGACAAGGTTCCTGATGCTGAGGACAAAGTTCCGGCTGGAGGACAAGGTTCTTGACGCTGATGACAAGGTTCGTGACGCTGAGGACAAGGTTCCTGACGTTGAGAACAAAGTTCCTGACGCCGAGGAACAGGTTCCTGACGCTGAGGAACAGGTTCCTGACACTGAGGAACAGGTTCCTGACGTCGAGCACAAGGTTCCTGAGGACAAGGTTCCTGACGCTGAGGACAAGGTTCCTGACGCTGAGCACAAGGTCGCTGACACTGAGGAGAAGGTACCTGACGATGAGGACAAGGTTCCTGACGCTGAGGACAAGGTTCCTGACGTTGAGGACAAGGTTTCTGACGCTCAGCACAAGTTCCTGACACTGAGGACAAGGTACCTGACGCTGAGGACAAGGTTCTGACGATGAGGAGAAGGTTCCTGACGCTGAGGACAAGGTTCGTGACGTCGAGGTCATGGTTCCTGACGTTGAGGACAAGGTTCCTCACGCTGAGGACAAGGTTTTTGAGGACAAGGTTCTTGACGCTCAGGACAAGATTCCTGACGTTGAGGGCAAGGTTCCCGACGTCGAGGACAAGGTTCCTCGCGCTGAGGACAAGGTTACTGACGTTGAGGACAAGGTTCCTGACGCTGAGAACAAGGTTCTTCACGCTGAGGAAAAGGTACCTGACGCTGAGGGCAAGGTTCCTGATGCTGAGGACAAGGTTATTGACGCTGATAAAAAGGTTCCTGACGTTGAGGACAAGGTACCTGACGCTGAGGACAAGGTTTTTGATGCTGAGAAGAAGGTTCCTGATCCTGAGGACAAGGCTCCTGACGCCGATGACAAAGTTCGTGACGCTGAGGACAAGGTTCTTGACCCTGAGGACAAGGTTCCTGATGCTGAGGAGAAGGTTCCTGACGCTGAGGACAAGGTTCCTAACGTTGAGTACAAGGTTTCTGACGCTCAGCACAAGTGCCTGACACTGAGGACAAGGTACCTGACGCTGAGGACAAGGTTCCTGATGCTGAGGACAAGGATCCTGACGTTGAGGACAAGGTTCCGGACACTGAGGACAAGGTTCCTGAAGCTGAGGACAAGGTTCCTGACGCTGATGACAAGGTTCCTGACGCTGAGGACAAGGTTCCCGATGCTGAGGACAAGGTTGACGTGAAAGGTTCCTGACGTTGAGGACAAGGTTCCTGACGCTTAGGACAAGGTTCCTTGACGCTGAGAAGAAGGTTCCTGACGCTGAGGACAAGGTTCCTGACGCCGATGACAAGCTTCGTGACGCTGAGGACAAGGTTCTTGACCCTGAGGACAAGGTTCTTGATGCTGAGGAGAAGGTTCCTGCCGCTGAGGAGAAGGTTCCTGACGTTGAGGACAAGGTTTCTGACGCTCAGCAAAAGTTCCTGACACTGAGGACAAGGTACCTGACGCTGAGACAAGGTTCTGACGTAGGACAAGTTCCGAGGACAAGGTTCTGACGCTAGGACAAGATTCCTCACGTTGAGGACAAGGTTCCTGATGTCGAGGACAAGGTTCCTGACGCTGAGGACAAGGTTACTGAAGTTGAGGACAAGGTTCCTGATGCTGAGGACAAGGTACCTGACGCTGAGGACAAGGCTCCTGACGATGAGGACAAGGTTCCTGACGTTGAGGTCAAGGTTCCTGACGTTGAGGACAAGGTTCCTGACGCTGAGGACAAGGTTTTTGACGCTGAGAAGAAGGTTCCTGACGCTGAGAACAGGGTTCCTGACGCCGATGACAAGGCTCGGGACGCTGAGGACAAGGGTCTTGACCCTGAGGACGCAAGTTCCTGACCTGAGGACAAGTCCTGACGCTGAGGACAAGGTTCCAGACGCTGAGGACAAGGTTCCTGACGCTGAGGACAAGGTTCCTGACTGAGGACAAGGTTCCTGACGCTGAGGACAAGGTTCCTGACGCTGAGGACAGGTTCCTGACGCTGATGACAAGGTTCCTGACGCGAGGACAAGGTTCTGACGTGAGGACAAGGTTCCTGACGCTGAGGACAAGGTTCCTGACGTGAGGACAAGGTTCCTGACGCTAGGACAAGATTCCTGACGTTGAGGACAAGGTTCCTGACGTTAAGGACAAGGTTCCTGACCTGAGGACAAGGTTCCTGACGTGAGGACAAGGTTCCTGACGTGACAAGTCCTGACGTGAGGACAAGGTCTGACTAGGACAAGGTTTGAGCTGAAAGGTTTGACGTGAAAAGGTTTGAGGACAAGGTTCACTGAGACAAGGTTCTGACTGAGGACAAGGTTCTGACCTAGGACAAGTGACGTTGAGGCAAGGTCTGACGTCAGGACAAGTTCCTACGTGAGGCAAGGTCTGACGTGAGGACAAGGTTCCTCACGCTGAGGACAAGGTTACTGACGTTGAGGACAAGGTTCCTGATGCTGAGAACAAGGTTCTTCACGCTGAGGAAAAGGTACCTGACGCTGAGGACAAGGTTCCTGATGCTGAGGACAAGGTTGTTGACGCTGATAAAAAGGTTCCTGACGTTGATGAGGACAAGGTTCTGACGTGACTT